AGGTCCTAAGGCCACTGCCTTTGGACTTTGAGGCATGTCACTCGAGTTGGATTCTCGGTAACGGACTGGACTGAATGTGGGTCAGTGGCGTCCCGTAAGCAGCTGACCAGAGCAGCAGTCGCCCGTCAGTTCGACGGCGGCAGACCGGAGGTGGTGGGGGTGGTGGGGGGGAGAGAGAGGCTTGAACAAGGGCTGAACTGTGGATGCACTCTGCCTCTGCTCAGGAAGTGGAAGAAGAATGTGGTTTGTGTGTGTGAGCGTGTGAGTGTGTGTGCGTGTGTGTGTGCCTGTACCGCCGTGCACAGGAGCACAGGTAGGCGACATCCACTCCATTTTAAACGCACGGGGTGGCGCTCATTTATTATTAACGCGTGTGTAATAAAGCTTGGTTTGACTTAATTCCCAGCATGCCTCTGCACTGGAAGCCATTAACGTCACGGGATGGATAGAACGATGGCTTGCCCGTTTCTTCATCAATAAACTGCCAAATTGGGGATTTTGGAGGCCGGCATGTAGAGTCACCAAATGAGCGAGCACCCCACTCCCACAGGCCCGCTCTGATGGAATCAATCGGTGGTAAATGACAACGCTTCCGCTTTATTTGGCCTCAGGATATGACTTGGTTTGCTTTGATTTTTCTAGAATCGATCACCTGTTTCCGGCTTTGTGATCCGCTGATAGCGATTGCGCTGTAAACTCTTCTGCCACCCTTTTCTGGGTGGCAGAAAGTGGCACTTTTCACGTTCCCCTCTTTCCAGATGAGGCTTACAGCGTAACAAACATGTTGATTCAAGTTAATTGGGCAAAATGCTCTCAATTAGTTTCTCAAACAGATGGAAGCCGACTGGTTTAATAATTTATTATCCTTCCTCCATCCTTTCCAGGACCCGCCAAGCCTCCAGTGTGCGGCATCATTACAGAGAAAACGTTTTCCCAAAGATGAAACCGGTTCGGGTTCGAGAGTCTCTCTCTTTTTTGTCTGTCAGATAAATGCGTTATAAATTTTTTAAATTATTGCTTTATTATTGTCAGATGCAGAAGGCGCCTCTTAAAACCAAAAAAAGTGAGGAAAAGGTTCACTCTCACTCAAACCGGTGGCTATTCCGACGGCACAAACCGGCTCTGGAGATATTTAAAACGCACTAAGAATAGCAGTAAAAAGTAGACCTACTTCCCATTTTCTCCAGCTTACATAATCAAGCGTCTGATTGGTATTTTGATGGTCATTTAACCTGCCCTCGCCTTCATTCCAACATCGGCCGCGTTTATTTTCCGGGTGAGCGGAGTGGCACTCACACCAGCCGCATCCTATTCTCCGTGTGTGTGTGTGTGTGTTTGCACAGGTATTTCATACACTGTTGTTTTGATCAAGAAATAGCCCACCGAATGCAAACCCGTCCCCGTTCAGCGCCTTTATTTTGTTTGCTCGGTTTTGAATGAGCGCTTTGTTTTTTTTGTTTTGTTTTTTATGCGTGTGTCTAAAACAGCCGGGGCAGCCTGGTTTCACTCAATCATATGATGAGAACGAGCGTCCAGCACGTCCCTCTGCTCCGTCTCTGTTTGGCGTCTGGGCCCGCGTGACCCCTCTTGACCCCCCCCCCCCCCCGTTTCCTGAAATAGCGCCGCTCTTGTTGCTCGCGTTCAAACGCTTGGAATGTTTGTTTTCAAACTTTTTTTTTTTTCATCGTAAAAGGCACGGCTGATCCACCGGAGGCTAATTGGCCAATCCGAACGTCACTTCCTGGATGTGGGGGTCACAGCGCAGCCAGCTAGCGTCCCGGTGGAAGTAAGGGGTGACTGACCACTGGCTTGTTTTTTAACCCGACGCCAGCCGGCAGGACAAAAGAAACACAGATCAGGGCCCATTGCAGCCTCCCCCCCTCCCCACCTCCTTTACCTCCCCTCCTCTACCATCACCACTCCCTAACCCTCCCCTGAGGGTCAGTGGAATTGACAGAAACAATGACTCAGGCATACAATGGACACAAATTGATTTTTTTCCGCAGAAAGGTTAAATGAGCTGGCACTTTTTCTTATTCTTCTTTTTATTTTTGCTGCTGGGCAAGATTGGCCATTTTGCAGTTCCAAACCATTTACGAGGGATACGCATCAGCGAAAGTTCTGTGATAGACGTACCGAAATCCATCTTTCTGTTTTTTTTTTCCCTTCTTTTTTTAAAAGACAGATAGTGGAATACGAGTGTGCACAACGCCATCTCCCGCAAAACGCGCAATGAAAGAGCCGAGTCTCCTATCCCCCCCCCCCCTCGACGTTCTCCCAAACTCAGCAGACAACACAACCTCTTGTGATTCATTCCTTTGTGACGTCAAACTCCGCCGCCTCTGGGGCCGCGAGGCACGGCACAGGATGTCTGAACAAGAGAGACAAAGACAAAGAGAGTACGGGGGGGGGGGGGGGGAGGAGAAGGAGGGGGGGGGAAAGAAAAAGAATTGTATATGCAAAGAAAAAGATTAAACTAATTTTAATGCGCTCAGAGAAAAAGAGAAGCTGGAGAAAATCACTTTTTTTTTTTCTGTGAAGTCGGAAGAAGAGGGGAGGGGTGGAGGAGGAGAGAAAAAAATAAGGAGGGGAAGAAGAAAAAAAAAGGCGGCAGCAGGCCCCAGAAAGTCAGAAAGTGACTGCAAATAGCAGGAGGCTTACTTCCCTATAATAAGCCGGGCTTTTTGAGCTTCCCCCCCCCCCCGAATGTGACGGACACCCGTGCCCCGAGCGATGCCACTCTCTCTCTCTCTCTCTCTCTCTCTCTCTCTCTCTCTCTCTCTCTGAGACATGTGACACGGAGTCACTCCGCAGCGGCCTACATCCTCATCGTTACAGTCTGTTTTCTTTTTCTTTTTTTTTTCTTTTTCTCCGAAAACCCGCCCGGCGAGCCTCCCACTGTCACAAGCTCGCACAAAACGCTGCACGATATTCACATAGTCATCACGCAAATGTACTTCTCTCCATTTCCTCCTTTCCTTTTTTTTTCTCTGTTTGTTTTTGTTTTTTTGGCGCTCTTCTTTTTGACAGGATGTTTCACAACCAAAGCATTTATTAATTTTTTAAATCTTATTTACCTATTAAATCTTATTTACCTACATCTTATTTACCTTTGTTACCTACAGTGGGGGAAATAAGTATTTGACCCCTTTGCTGATTTTGCAGGTTTGCCCACTTACAAAGAATGGTTATTTTTCCTCATCAGAATGTTATCAAGTTTTATAAATTCATATGATGTGATTTTCTGGAATTTTCTTTGGGATTCTGTCTTTCATTGTTAGAATGTACATATGATTAAAGTTATAGATTGTTGCATTCTTTGTAAGTGGGCAAACCTGCAAAATCAGCAAGGGGTCAAATACTTATTTCCCCCACTGTATAACAAAAATGCCTCCTCTGATCAATTAAGTAAAAGTAAGTGGAAGACCATTGGAGCCCCCTATTGTTTTTTAGCCAAGATTGTGAGTTGCCTCGCCTATTTGTGTGGCCTCTCGCAAAAAAAAAAAAAAAAGGCACGGCACATACAGACTTTGAACATGGGCCATGCTGGTATGAGATCGGATACAGGAGAGATGTGCCTTAATGGAAAAAAAAAAGGAAAAAAGAGTGGCCCCGCAATCAGATCCACGGCTGTTGAGATTCAGAAGGCAGCAGTGCGAGAGATGGCGTGATATTTTCTTGTGAAATTCGGCAGTCAGACACAGAGCTGTCAGATTGGCGATTCGGGATGCGGCATAGGTCGATTTTTCTTTTTCTTTCCACGTGACAGGACGGCAAGTTCTTATTTTATTTGTGCTCACGACGCAAAAAAAAAAAATCTCCTTTTGATCAGCTTACAGTGCAAAACTTCTTTTACCCATTCCTTTTTTATAGCAAAGTGAAAAATGTACATTTGGGGGTCTGGTGAGTGCTGCAGCTGGCAGGAATTTCTCCATCTGCTCTCCGAATATGCAGAAAATGCTCCAACAATGGGGTCCTTTGTGCACTTATTACCGTCAGAGTGAGTCAGGTGCAAGTAGGAAGGGGCCGGAAGGTTATTACTACACCCACCTGTATTTTGATGGCAGGTCTGAGCCTAGATCCACCAGGGACAGTACCGTGATTGGTCGTATGGAGAGAAGCGTGAGGTGCCATCGCAATTACGAAATGGCATTCCTTTTTGAGGGAGGTTCCTTTTCTCCCGTTTGACGTAGGTATACGCACCAATAGCTTGTTTTAACGGATGGTAGAGGAAAATTCAAATCACAGAGTGGCATGTCGAATAGATAGATAGATGGATAGATGGATAGATAGATTACTTTATCAATCCACGAAGGGAAATTTGGGGGCAATTAATTGGGCAACTTGCCCCCCATGGGAATAGGAACTGGCTGATTTGATTTGGTTATTGGTACTGAACCCTCCGAGGCCACCTTTTGACTAAGGCGTCCTTAGTTTGTCTTCTTGTTTAATCAAATTTCTTTTCTCAAGGTTTTAGATCAGGAAAACCTCTGCTTGCCATACTCCAGCTCTAGTATGCGTGCCTGTGCGTTTCCTCTTGTGGCCGACTCGTTGAGCCCGTTTCCTGCCGACGGAGTTTCGCGTCTGGCATTTAATCTAAAGAATGCTCGGCAAACACCCCCCCCAACGTCTGCCCTAAGTAAATGCCAGGCCAACGATCGAGGCGGGCAAATATTGACGCACGGACCACCGATATTGATCGGTCACCGATATCGATCAGCCGAGGAAAAGCAAACGCTGATATAAGAATTGTCAGTGTGTTTTCCACTGATCGTCAGGACTGTAGTGGCCTAACAAGAGGATGTGAGAAAGAAACCAAGAATACACACTACTGTACATACTAAGATCTTGCTTAGTAGTTGTGTGTAGCAAGCCATAACAGGATGAAATTTGTCATAGGAGGAGACATTTTATTGAAATGTAAGCACACATATCCTAGTCTAACGGGTGTTTTGCCTCTCTTCTCCCCCTTTTTCTACCCACGTGTCTCCCCCCCGCAGTCCTCCTGGCTGAGCCCATAGAGAACGAATGTATGGAGGGCCTGACGCTGAAGATCACCGACTTCGGCCTGGCCAGAGAGTGGCACAAGACCACCAAGATGAGCACCGCCGGCACCTACGCCTGGATGGCCCCCGAGGTCATCAAGGCCTCCACCTTCTCTAAGGGCAGCGACGTCTGGAGGTCAGTGTGTGCGAGTGGGAGGAGAGCTCACGGAGGTCCCGCTCAAAAAATAAGAAGTCCGCTGCTGTTAACATTTTTGGGACTTAAAAAGGTTCCTGAGAACAACAAAAGATAAGAAATGCAATGCAATCTGCCCCACCTCTCATCGGGGGAGTATCTGCAGGTTCTCTGAGCAGCTTGACGCTTTTAATTTGGATTTTTGTGAGCTACGGGTAACCGAGAATCAGGCCACTTTAAAAAACAATTTAGTTTTAGTTTATTTAACACTATGGGTCGGGGTATGTGTACACTTCCAAGGACACAGGAGCTACGATATGACATAATTACCTTTAAAGATGTCTACACAATGAAAACATCACATGTAGCACTGCACCAAATTATTATTCCATGTCCTATTCAGATTTCCAAGCAGCCCGGAATTTGAAGCAATAGCTCTGCTGGTTATCTTTTTTGTATGGCAAAGTTTTGGGTCCTGTCTTGGGACCTGACAGTTTTCAATTTGTTCGTTAAGCCACTTGGCGCTGACCATTAAATTAGAATTCAGAAATCATTAGATGGTTTAAAAAAAAATAGCGCCAAACGCAAAGGATGAACTAAATATTGTCTAAATATGATCTCCAACACACAGAATTGTTTCAAATTTCGCATCTCTCTAGACAATGACATATTTAGACACCAATAAGGTGATTTAACTCATTTGTAGGTAATCATAAGAAGCTGCCAGTGGACTATTCTGGGGGGGTAGTATGCCTTGCATAGAGGAATTTGAGAAATGAATGATTGATTCAGATTAATCATGGGTAGCCACTAAGCTACACACCCATCCTCCCGCCTGTGCTTCTGAAACAACAGTCACTGACCGAATCTTCATTTTAATGTCAAAGGTGAAAAACGGAGTGAGTCCTTATGAACATGAAAATAAACTCATGGAGAGATTTTCTTTAATTCAATAAAACTGAAAAGTAAAACATCCTCATGTATCTGGAGACATCTTTACACCTCTGTAATCTAACGTATATCTAACAAATTGCTGCGTAAATGCAAGCAAATCAGATCTTGGCCATTTATCTTATGTCATATACAAGGGTGAGGATGACAAAATATTTGCGAAAAAAGATCTGCAGCTGAAGAAATGGGGATTTGTTTTTTAGAACCCTGTCCTGGGATCTTTGTTCGAACTCGCAGAACAGTGGAGTCGCAAAGCCAACAAAAAAATAAATAAATCGGGCCAGTCACACAAGTTCTCAGATACCCTGTGACAAAAAAGCTTTGCCGGGATGATGTCTGGAGAATGAGCAGAAACTAACTAACCCTAACCCTCAAAACTTTGTTGAATCTAAATGGAGAATTACCTACTTTTAGGGATTTATTTGAAACTTGAACAACATGTTTGAGCATGAATTTATGCTTATCGTTAATATTCATTTCATTATTGTTTCTATCAAGAAAAATATAGAAACAAACACATTCTGCCTTTACATTTACACAGAAATGACTCCCTCTTAGGGATTTTAAAATGGACGACGTATTTTAGCATGAATTGATTCACTTGAACATTCATTATTGTTTCTATCCCAAAAAAAAATTGACAACCCCCCCAAAAAACTAAAGACCATTCTGCCTTTACATGGCCCTTTGTTATTTACGTTATTTACTCAAGTCGAATTCCAGCGTTGGTAACAAACCTGAGGGGGCAATTTATAAGAGGTGGCCAAAGTCTGTTTATTAACAGACAACCAACATCTGGACTGGGATAACGAGGACTACGGGAGCATCATTTTTTCTTTTTTTTTCTTTTACCCGGCCCATCGTGGGCCTAAAGGTCCTGTTTGATATTCATTCCGTAAGGTTTTGCAGAAGCGCTGAAGCAGCATCGGAAGTTCAGATTCTGTGCAGAGCTTGCATTAAACTTGGCCAAAGAGGGGAGACGGTGGGTGTTGGGGGGTGGGGGGGGTGAGTCTCAGCCACGAAGAGGTGTAGTGACGGGAGTGATGGATTTCAGCGAAGGCCACCGCGGGCGGGGCCGCGTGACGGCGTCCCTTCAAAGGGCCGCTCTGTGCTTTGTTGTGAGACAGCGCGCGGCTCACACTGTCCCATTGTCTCCTCCGCAGACAGAGGAGGAGGCCGACCGCAGCCCTTTATCTGGGCACGGCTCTGTCTCCTGGCCGTGGTTTGTGGTTTTGTAATAGTGACTGCGATTCGCAGCCATTACGGCCCCTCGAGTGTTCCGGACGGATTTTAATCCTGAGCGAGGTCAGCAGGAGCACTTGTTTGCTCAAATAGTGAGGGAAAATTAAAACGGTTTTTAAAGTGACGAACAAGGACGCAGCCTATTCGTTCGTTAATCCGGTGCGTTTGGTCCATTTCATCCATCCTTGAACGCTCCACACATTCACATCCACACTCTGTGAACACCCCGAGAGGGTTTATCGAAAACACCAGCCACTCGAGGGTTTTTTGCCTGTCAAATCTTCAGACAGCCCAAATAAGCAAAAGTCTAGACTTAAAAAAATTTACTTTTTTAATGGCCCTAAGAACCACGTCACTATCTCATCCTCGCATCCTTTATTTTTTCCATATCGGCTGTATAGAAACAGTTAAAAAATACAAATAGGCGAGCTCTTATTTGCAGCAGTTAAGGCAGAATCTGAGGGGGAGGGTTTGAAAAAAAAGAAGAAAAAAAACTGCGATATGAGCAAGTGGCAGGCAGACAGCTTCCCTCTGAAAAACGAAGGGCCATCTTTGTTCTGGTGTTCCCTCTCATCTGTCCACCGCCGCTCGTCTCCAAAGCCACGCCGCCCGAGACGACGACCGCCCCCGGGCTGGCCGAGGAGCGAGCCTTTCTGCAAAGTCACAGCAGTGTGGAAGTTGTAATTAAAGAACTAAAATAAAAAATGTAAAAAAAAAATAAAAAAAAAAGCCTCCACGATGCTGGGCGAGGGCTAATTGACAGTGTGGGAGCTCCAAGTCCTGCAACCGCGATTCGTGTCCCGAAGACACAGGGCTGTTCCCATTGTGTGTGTTTGTGTGTACGTTTGTGTGTCTTCACCATGCATGAGTTCACTTCGCTTTGTTAGCGTGTGCCTCGTCAAGCGAGATGCACCATTGTGCCAATCTTTTCTTGGCTACGACGTGACAGCGAACGCGAATGTAGAAGTTTAGGCTCATCCTATAGCCCTGTTTATAACGTCCATTCGCAGCTTAAGGAGCCATAAAAATCACACCTTTGTTGAAATGGGTAGGAGGGAGGCTTCACTCAGGCAGGAGAAGTCACTAATACTTTCGTTTACAGGCACCAACAGCTTGGCCCAGCCTCTTTGTTCGTTTAAATTCTTCAGAATCCAGACAACTGGACAAAAATGTGCTTTTATTTGACCCATTAGACAGGCAGGAGACTAAAATCCAAGCCAAAACGGAGATAAAAGACCTCTCGGAAGACAATTCTTTCGCAGCTGATGCTGAATTCTGAAGGAAAAACCCATTTTGATAACACCGATTTCGGACATTTTCAGCTGCTTGGGAACAGATTTGAATTGCCGGCATCAGCTAACGCGAGCAATGTGCACTTAGAGAGTTATTCCTATCAGCTTCTCACTTCTGGTACTGACCCGTGCTCCCTCATCTGTGTTTTTTTTCTCCTCCAGCTACGGCGTTCTGCTGTGGGAGCTGCTAACAGGAGAGGCCCCCTACAAGGGAATCGATGGACTCGCCGTTGCCTACGGAGTCGCCGTCAACAAACTCACCCTGCCCATCCCTTCCACATGCCCAGAACCCTTTGCACAGCTCATGTCAGGTGGGATTTTGAAATGTGACAGAAAAGACTGCCAGCACGGCCCCGGGAGGCTGGATTGGCTCCTTGAAATGCCACGAAAATCCACTGAAATCAACTCAAAGAAACACCGACATTTGGTCTTCTTTTTTCCCCCCAATTCATTAGAACCCGCCTATGCGTTTGTGGTGGCGTTATTAGCTGGTAAATCACTTAAAAATAAGACAGTGAACGGTCTCCCCACTGAGTAGCTCTGCTTAATGTCATTTTTATGGGTACATTTCAAAAGAAAAATCACCCCTGGGTACCGCAGAGGATTAATTGATTATCAGATTGTTTTTTTGTGGACGTGCTCATTATGCTCAAAGTTTCGTGGCGAATTATGCAAAATTTCCCCCCACAGCAAGTTAATTAAGTGGAGCACTTCAAAAAAAGGTATCAGCTGGTGTCTGCATTCAGCCCGCACGAGCGTCTGGCAGATAAAAGGAAACGATGGCAAACATTGCAGGCTGAACATTTGCATTGTTTTACCTAAACTGAGTCCAAAATCCTGAGCTGACACCTTCTGAATCAGAGCATTTTGGTCAATGAGAGTGTGCCTTCCTGCTTGGAGACTCGATAGAAGTGAAACTGGTCTGGGAACAACTGGAATCTGTCAGATGTCTTCCTCATATTTTGAATAACAAAGCTGCAAAACTCTCTCTCACGCTACATATATATATGTATGTAGGTAGATAGATAGATAGATAGATAGATAGATAGATAGATAGATAGATAG